CCCTTTTGCTCGAGGGGTGCCCACTCGTCTCTGGGGCCACGGGCCCGGGATGAACTGCGCTGACACCGCGCTGGGACAACCGTCCGCTGGGGGTAGGCCTCCGCCGCCTCCCTGCCCGGCTCTGACACCTCGGCCTGGTTCAGTCTGGTTTCTTCTGGGCAGAGGCAACAGTGAGCTTTAAAGAAAGGGGTAAGAAATTGAACTCTGCAGAAAAAAACCCTCTTCTTTGGCAGAGGCAGTACCTCAGGGGGTTTGTTCTGCCCAGACTTTGTGTGGTCACTCGTTACTTCTCAAAAGCAGACGTGTCTTCGGCCTGGCGTTTGTTGGGTATAGCCACAAAAGCAACAGAAAAGCTGAACTCTTGTCAAGGCCTACAGTAGCCTACCTAGAAGCAAGAAATAGCTCATTTAAAATAACCCCAAATAAGTAACTCGCTTAGAAGCTTAAACCACGTGGCAAACTGAAAGGCTCGGCAATTTCCCATCTGATGGTGGGCCGCGGTGTGCAGCGGGATATATGAATGGCAGCACAACGGTAAACAAATACTGCAGCGCCAACCCGAGCTGTGAGATTTCAGGCCTCAATGAGTCACCTATGTCCGGATGAGCAGAAGTGCTTGGGTGGCCACTTCTCCAGTGTGTATGTGTTGGGTTTCCAGGCTTTCCCCTTCATCTTGTTCCTGGGTGTCTGGAGGAGGAACAGAGGGGCGCAACACCCCGTAAGGGAGCTTTGCTTGTCAGAGGCAGCCACTGGCCCAGCTTTGCTCCGCTTCAGGAGGTGGAAGAGTTTAAAGGTGAGTGATACTGCCCTGCAGAGCTCTGCTGACTGGGGAAATGGTGCAGGTGATATAGGGAGTCCTGCTATGCGTGTGAAATAGATTGAGCCTCTGGGACCCCAGAAGGGAGAGTCCCTGTGTGATTTGGCAGGGCACACCTGCCTACCCTTTATGGAGAAACTCCAGCTGCGTCAGAGACACCACATCCTTCCCTTGTAGCTGCCACCAGACAGTCCCCAGGGACAGGTTCAAACCCTAAACCCTTCTCCTCTCTCTGCCTGTAGGATTGGTTTAGCAGGACATGAGTGGGTTAGTGAGGGGAAAGGTGTTACCCCCTTCCACAGGCTGTGCGGAGCTCCTGATGGCTTCCATCTCTCTTTCTTTGCTCCCTAGAAGCTCACTGGTGTCTTTGGGGCACCCCTTTGCCCCTCAGAAAAGCCCCTTCTGTGAGCTGCTAACAAACTGAATTCACATGTGCTATGCAGAAGCCTTCAGCTGTTGTCTCACTAAGTTACTAAATTCAAGGAATGTTACAGAAAAAGCAGGTGTGGGGAGGAAAACCACAGCTTAACATAGCCCTGACTTGCCGGCTCCTTCCTGTATTATACAGACATTTAGCAGTCATAGAGGGAATTTAGGAGTTGAATGTGGAACTCCTTTATAATATTTCTGCAGCAAAGGTGCTCTACAAGGCATTAAGTGACATAAGTGTTCTTATTATTAACGTACTGTTTGTTCCTGTTACACCTTGAACTAAAGAGCCAGCCCTTTGGGGGAGTGGCTAGAAGACTTCATGTCTTCAGAGGAGGATAAATGCAACCCTGATGACGATGAGAATGAATGTTCACTGCCTCCCCTTTGTCACGTAACACAGATCACTTTGGGAGCACTTTCTGGGGGAAGGGTTATGCTAACATGGATTTATTGTGGAGAGAGGCTAAACTGTCCGCAGTTCTTCTGGTGACAGCATGTGCTCCCAGCCCTGTGTCAGGTACCTCTATGCAGCCCCTGCCCTGATTCACTGAACCGTGGGAAGGAGACAGCGCATAGGAGGCTTTCAGAGGGGTTGTCTGGAGCCCATCAGAGCTGTCATTGTTGCAGTCGCCACAGAAGAGGTCCAAGTTGCATACCCTCTGGGCAGGTTATGGAGAACCTGCTCATACAACCTGGCTCTGTTGGAGGCAGCACAGCCGCCTGGCAGTCAGAGCTCTTCAGCCAAGGCAGCAGTGGCAGTGAAAAGCTTCCTGAATTGTCACATGGATGGGTATGGTTATCTCTATGGGCTTGTGAGCAGAAAGGTACAAATGACTCAGCATCTTTGCTGTGACTCTGGCAGAGCCTCTTGGCAATGATTTAAATTTAGTGATGTTCCCTTCCTATTGCTAGCTTGTGCGGCATCTGCCTGACAAAAGGGAAGAAAAGAGGTAGAACTGCTAAGCCATAAGTTGCCTAGAGACAGTTAAACCACCTGAGCAAAGTGCAAACCAACACTGGAGATTAAACAGGAACTACATCTGACGGGTCTGTGGAAGCTAGTGAAGCAGTGTGCCGCTGAAGTAGCTTTTGGTAATGACCCCTGTGAGAGGCTGGATGCTCGATTAAGAGGAGCATATGTCTTATTTAAGAATATTTTAAGCTTTGCCTGTGGAAGTCAGTTGTGACACCCCACTTCCAAAACAGGTCAGCCCAGAAAGTGTGCTCACATGAAGGGACGGCTAAAACTGAAAGATTTAGTGTTTGGGTCTCCAAATACACTGCCTGCTGAGCATCGTGGTGTAGTGTCACTTCGACAAAAGCTGCTAGCTCCTGATAACTGTCACAGCGTTTCTAAATTAATCTCCAAACCATTCCAAAGAGTGCATTGACTAGTGCGACAGAAGGAATCCTGATTCCTAAGTGTCCCTGCAAATAAAATAAACCATAACATTGATGATCAGTATGAGATTTAAAAAGCTTTCAGGAAGTTAGGAACTCCACACCCAGTGTTTTAGAATGCATAAAGTACTCCACAGTGGATCAATAACTTCCCCTTCTTCATTGCACCACTTTCAGCAGTTTTTCAAAGAACAGAGCAAGCAATTCATCTGCCATTTTCTATCACATTTTTTGTCTTTAACTTGCCCCCTATTTCTCCTCTCTCGCTGGAAGAGCAGGCTCACTTCTCGGTTTGAACGCATACATGTATTTCATGTATGAAATTTCCTGTTTCTGGTTTTGGTCCCAGTTCAGGACAGAACTGTGAGTGAAGCCATGTAAGAGTCTAAATGCCACTAGGTTGGGTAATACTTATTCATGTTGCTTCAATTTAGGTACATAATCAAGTATATCCTGAATAGGATGTTTTCCTAAACAGAGACATTTCTGGTACTCCATAACTTCATAGTTTAGTAATTTACTGATCTGGTTAATTAAATGCATATAATGCATACAGAGTATACAAGTTCAATGTGATGTTGTACTGTGAAATGTAACTGCCAACAGAAATAGAAATCTGTACAGGAAGAAGATCACAGAATCACAGAATGGTTGAGGTTGGAAGGCATCTCTGGAAGTCATCTGGTCCAACCTCTCTGCTTAAGCAGAGCCACCTAGAGCCAGTTGCCCAGGACCATGTCCAGACACCTTTTGAATATCTCCAAGGAGGGAGACTCCACAACCTCCCTGAGCAACCTGTGCCAGTGCTGTCACCCTCACAGTAGAAAAGTGTTTCCTGATGTTCAGACGGACCCTCCTCTGTTTCATTTTGTGTCTATTGCTTCTTGTCCTGTCACTGGGCGCCAATGAAAAGAGCCTGGCTCCATCTTCTTTACGCCCTCCCTTCAGGTATTTATATGCATTAATAAGATCCCCCCCGACCCTTCTCTTCTCCAGGCTGAACAGTCCCAGCTCTCTCCGCCTTTCCTCATGGGAGAGATGCTTCAGTCCCTTAATCACATTTGTGGCCCTTTGCTGGACTCTATCCGGTATGTCCACGGCTCTCTTGTACTGAGGAGTCCAGAACTGGACATAGTACTTCAGGTGTGGCGTCACCAGTGCTGAGCGGAGCGGAAGGATCACCTCCTTTGACCTCCCTAAGCACAGCATAGCTAGCCAGTCAAGGGAGGTGATTGTCCCACTGGTGCGGCCCCACCTTGAGTACTGTGTGCAGTTTTGGGTGCCACAATATAAGAAGGACATCAAACTATTAGAGTGTGTCCAGAGGGGGATGACCAAGATGATGAAAGGTCTCAAGGGCAAGACTTAGGTGGAGCAGCTGAGGTCACTTTGTTTGCTCAGCTTGGAGAAGAGAAGACTGAGGGGTGACCTCATCACAATCTTCACTTCCTCAAGGGGGGCAGCAGAGGGGGAGGTGCTGATCTCCTCTCTCTGGTGACC